TATGCTCAACATCACAAAGCAACCTACAAATGAGGTCCTTTGCTTCATTTGTCAACTTTGCATCTTCTGGAAACTTCAAATGATTTTTCCAATGAACAATCTGACAGTAATTGCTCGATTAGTTGGCTATTAGTGTTCCACTTATGGACAAAATTTCCATCAATTTCTAGAAATGTAGTAAATGTACAGGAAAAAGAGGTTCAATCATTTTTTTTTTTTTTTTGCAAAGGTAATAGGTTCAATCATTTTACCTAAAAAGATATTAAAAAATGGATATTGAAGCTTTGAACTAATGGGATGGGAGTAGAACTTTACAATATAAAAGCACATTTTACCTTTCTGCATGTGGTGATTGGATCATCAGAGTAAAATGGAGGGTAACCTACGAGCATCTCATACATAATAGCACCGAGGGACCACCTGAGTGAAATTCAGTTAACAGAATAACGAGGACATGAATACAGGTATGTTGTACTTATTGATAAGTAAATTTCAACAGGAATATCTCATTCAAAAAGTGAAGAATCAGGCAGGATACTCAATACTTTTCTAGTTCTCTTCCCGTTCTTCTAACTTCATTTTTCATGAGGTTCAAACAGTGAATGATTTCAATACGCGTTTAGAATGCTTCGTTTCCATCAACTAGATATCATTCTCTTTTTTCTTTCCATACAGTATATTTTCATTGTTGATAAAAGAATTATTAAACACTGCCATTTGGCTATCACATTGAGCAGAAAAAAGTACCTTGTTAGTTTATCAACAAAAAATTACATCTTATAAAAATTTAAATATAAATAAAATTTAACTTATCTTATAAAAAAGATCAACAACAAAAAAATACGCAGCCTGAGAGAGGATAAAAAACAAATCCATAAAATAGTTAACAGTGATCAAGCAAAGCTGTGTAAGTCGTTAATCAAAAAAATTGTTTATATTGATGCAACATAAATAAATACCATAGAGATTTAGTATGCATCAATTTTGGAAATGGAATAATAATATTTTCTATGAGATCAAATTAATAATTTCTAACAAAATAGGCCACAAAACTTACCAGTCGCACTCCATCCCATATCCTTTTTTAAGTAATACTTCTGGAGCTATATAATCCGGTGTTCCAACTGTTGAAAATGCCTGTCCAAATGAAAGAAGAAAAAGGTATGAACAATTACAGAAGGCCATTTTTTAACAACTATTTTAATTGATACGAAATATAAACTAGCCATTGCATCATTTGAGTCTGTGGCATCTCTAGTCGCACCTAGGCTTATTAGAGAATAAGATTAGATGGCAGTAGTCTAAAAGTGCAACGTCATTATGGAGTTGTCATTTCAAAATCAATGAGTCAAACGCAAAAAGACCTATTACCCTCTAGAAGTCTTTAAAAATGAATGATACATGTCTACCATTTGAACTAACAGATTTTCTCTTTCTCAAAAAAAAAAAAAAGATTTTCTCATCGAAGAACCCAGGAATAGATCTATCTGCCAAAAGACAAGGACTAAATCAAGCATAAAAATAAAAAGGGAAACTAATAGTGAGATGCCAAAAGTCTGCGGGATGGTTCAAAAATCCCACTGATCTGGTGAAGTGTCCAAGGGTTTAACTTAGTAATAAAATCCTTGGGACACAATCAAAAATCCCACTGATCTGGTGAAGTGTCCAAGGGTTTAACTTAGTAATAAAATCCTTGGGACACAATCAAATGATCCTAGGTTGAATATCCTTCGCACACCAGCCTTAGGCTGAATTGAGTTACAAATGTAGCATATTGGTCTAGCACTATATCCTAGGTAGGAACATTAACAGAGAACTTAAGCAACATTATAACTAGGATCTTCAGCCTAAAATAATTTGACCAATTTTGAAATGATTTATACTCTAACCAGCACATCGGCAATTTCCACATCTTAGTTAGCTTTAGCTAAAAATACAGATTATAATATATTGTAATTTGTAATTATTCTTATTGAGATTATTTGAATGCAATTTAGGTGGCATGCAGTACAAATCATGATGGTAATTAGCATACCAACTTCCTCCGGTTCATTTGCCAATGGTGTAGCTGTTCACTGGGACTCTTCCAACTACTCCTATTATCGTCAATATCCATTGGTTCTGCCAAATTTTCATCATCCATGGTTTTATTTTCATGTAGTGCGGATAGGGTTAAAGAATCCAGTGGCTTACAGAGACCAAAATCAGAAAGCTTCATGTGACCATTTTTGTCCAGAAGAAGATTGTCAGGTTTAATATCCCTGTGATTACAGTGATTTTAAGCTATTAAGACAACTTGAGTTCTACTATGAAAGTAAAAAAATAATAATTAGATTCAAATGGTCACGCATCTTTTGGTACTTAGTCAAACAAAGCATGAAATCAAAAGTAAAATTAGAACCTGTGAATATAGTTGTGCCTGTGGATAGATTCAATTGCAAGAACACTTTGTGCAATGTAAAATTTTGCCACGTTTTCAGTCAATGTGTCTTCCCTCATAAGTAGAGTCATCATATCTCCACCTGGCAGATATTCCATGATCAAGTACAAATACTCAGCATCCTGGAATGAGTAATAAAGCTTCACGATGCAATGGCTGGCAACTTCTGCTAATAAGTTCCTTTCTGCTCTAACATGTTCCACCTGAAAAGCAACAAGAGATACTGTTATGAACTTATAATTTATAAAGGAAAGCATTTAGGGTCAAAGACCAAATACCTAATCCAAGGTACATAGAGACAGACATGTACCAGTGTTTAATGCAGTAAAAAGATATAGGTACAGATAGTTCATGACATTACAAAGTCAATATCCAGCAGAACTTTACTTTTGTATGCTCTTCAGTCCTAGAAAGCTTGATCCATTAATAATTATTGATGCTATTCGATTCAAATAAATATTCATAAGTCAGAAATTGAAATAGTGATTAGGCATGATAAGATCATCAACTTGGTGTGAAAGGGCTATGCACCATAAGTTTCCATAAACACATTTATTATGGCTGCACCCAGTGACATGAACGAACAACACTGCCTTGAAATTTACACCTAGACTGTTACACCATGAAATCATCTCTAAGCAGATAATACCACCAATAAGCAATGCATGCAAGGGATCAATTTTCATTCTATATCAGTGACATGCTGATTGCTCGAAATTAGTTGGACAAATGACATGCGAATGGGAAAAAAATTGTGAATTCTATTTAGGTAAATAGTTGATAAGGAGAGCTTGAAGTCACATTCTACCTGTCCTCTCATCAGCATTTCAGATTTTTTCAACTTTTTCATCGCGTATATATCACCGGATTTCTTCTCACGACATAATCGAACCTGTTATTGAACCAAAAATAACAACCATGGAATCATATAAATATTAATGGAGCTCTTTGATTGAAAAAGTAAATAATTATATAAAGAGAAAAAATGATGGACTAACCTCACCAAAAGCCCCCCTGCCAATGATGGTTAAAAGCTCAAAATCATCCACGCAAATCTTGTGCCTTTTGAGTCGCATAAACTCGGTTTCTTTCCGCTCTAAATCTTTGATAAGATTGATTTGTTCATCCTTAGGAACATCTGAGGAGGCTAACTTACGTTCCAACATCCATCGTCTTCCATGAAAATATACATTTTAAAAAAGTTGAGTCTAGAAGTCCAAAATTATATCAAAATTGAAACAGTCCTGACAGCAAGAAAAAAAACCGAGAAAACAAAATAACAGAAGCACCATTGAAATGTTGAAGATTAAAGGTCATGAGAAAGCCATATCTCCCGACGCTCATTACATTCTTTCCATAAAGAGATTGAGAGCACCTAAAGAATTTTCTCCTTTGCTTAGATTTTTCAAATTTTATAAGATTTTGTCCTAATGGAATGCCTTAACAAAACGGAAAACAAATATGAGCTATGGAAGCATGGAAATCCGCACAATTAAACTCTGCATAGGTTCTTCATTACACTACACTACATTACTATTACAATGGCAAATTCAATAAACGAAATAGAATGCTAGGATCATTTAGTTAAAGGTCAGATACAATAAATAACATATTAAAATTACAAAGATACCAAACACAGCAAGTGAAGTGCAAGGGCAAACAATGAGATCTCAATCCCATGCCGACATTGCTACAGTAAAACAAAGGGTTTGTTTAATTAACTTGTATGTAATTCAGGAATGAATCGAACGGTTCAGTGCAAACAATTCTCGGTTCCTGCATTCCCTCAGAATCAAAGAAGCGCATGGTAAGAAAATTGAAGTTACCTCTCCTTCCGCTCTTGAATGTTCTTCATCTGAGCTCTGTAATGGTTCTCTATAAACTTCTTAGCCGCCGCCACTTTCTCCATCGTCAGGCTGGAACCTTGCACCTCTTCTTCTGCCTTCTCCTCCTCCTCCCGATCCTCCATTTAA